TGATCGAAGTGGGCTAATATTGGCGTAGTCGTGAGGGCTGCAATGAGCGCCGAAAATGCAGCACTCTGAGGCGAATTCCAAGTAAATGGGACGTCTTTTTTAAGAAGCTCGGTGAGAGGCCGCGCAATATCGGCGAAATTTCGGATGAAGCGGCGAAAATAGGAGCACAAACCAAGGAAGCTCCGGACATCCTTATGAGAAGAGGGCACGGGAAATTGAGTCAATGCGCGAATTTTGTCCGGATCGGGTTGTACCCCAGATGCGTTAACGAGGTGACCAAGTACAGTTATTTCGCGACGGCCGAAACGGCATTTGGAAGAGTTCAGCTGAAGACCAGCGTTGCGAAATACTTGGAGAATACTGGACAGTCGCTCTAGATGGCTTGCGAACGTCGGTGAAAAAACAATTATATCATCCAAGTAGCATAAGCAAGTGGACCATTTGAAGCCGCGCAGAAGGGAGTCCATCATGCGCTCAAAGGTGGCCGGCGCATTACAAAGCCCAAACGGCATTACTTTAAATTGATATAACCCATCGGGGGTTACAAATGCTGTTTTTTCTCGGTCCCGTGGGTCGACAGCGATCTGCCAATAACCAGATCGAAGGTCAATGGACGAGAAAAACTTTGCGCCATGAAGGCAGTCAAGGGCGTCATCTATTCTTGGTAAAGGGTAAACGTCCTTCTTAGTGACCTTGTTGAGATGTCTATAGTCGACACAAAATCGCCATGTGTTGTCCTTCTTCTTGACAAGCACTACCGGGGATGCCCACGGACTAGATGAGTGTTCGACGACGCCTTTGGCGAGCATTTTCTCGACCTCTTTCTGGATGACAGAGCGTTCGGCGGCGGAGACGCGGTAAGGGCGGCGATGAATTGGGTTGGCATCGCCGGTGTTGATGTGATGGGTCACAACTGAAGTCTGGCCTAAAGGGCGGTTGTCAAGATCGAATATGTCCGCATAGGATGTCAACAGACGGTGGAGGTCTTGTGCTTCGGAGGGCGAAAGATCTGGCGCTATCATTTTGGCAATGTCAATGCTTGACAGGTTGGGCGCAGTGAGCAAGTTGACATGCGGAGTAGGTTGCTGAGCCGACAGTTCAGAAATATCACACTCTTGCAGCGACGACATGACGCCTAGTTTAATACCAGCAGGCAGCACATGCGTGGAGAAACCAAAGTTCAAAAGAGACAAATGAGTCTGATTGTGGCATACTCTCACCACGGTGTGCGGGACAGCAATGGAGTGCTTTAGCACAACGTCGGTAATAGGTGAAACGACATATTCACCATCGCGCACAGGCGGATCACACACGAGCTGCACGTAAGTCGCGGCTTGCGGCGGAAGATGCAGGAACTCGGTGGCGCAAAGGCGACTTTGAGCGTCATGGGCAACAGCGGCGTCAAAAGGCAGTTCCAACTGAAGAAGACCTGTCGAGCAGTCGATAAGGGCGGAGTGCGCAGAGAGAAAGTCGAGGCCAAGAATCACGTCATGTGGGCACTGCTCAAGCACGGTGAACAATACGACGGTCTGGCGCCCAGCAATACATACGCGAGAAGTACACATGCCGAGAACGGCAGATGTGCTCCCATCGGCAAGCATTACTGCACACTTAATAGGAGGCGTGATCACTTTTCGCAGTTTAGTACAGAGAGCAGCGCTCATGACTGAAACTTGTGCACCAGTGTCTATCAGGGCTGTAACGGTAACGTCATCCACCAAAAGGTCCAAAATATTGCGGCGTGTAGGAATCGTCAACAGAGGATTTGCAGAATGGGTCGTTAATGCAGCGTCACCTCCGGGAGCTGCATGGTCTAGTTTCCCGAGGTTGAGGGCCCAGGTCGTGCAGGGGACCTGGATCGAGAAATCATCGGCGAGAGAGATCGGCGGCCTTGGGGCGATGGCGACCGGCTGAACCTTCGGCCCTGAACGTTAGTAGGAGCAGGCTGTGGATCGTACGGAGTAGAAAAGTGGCGAGAACTGCCTTCAAAGCGACGCCATGTCCCAGTGTTCCAAGATGAATTGGATGACCAACGATTGCGACAGTAGCGTGCAATGTGGCCGGCGCGAGAGCAGTGAAAGCAGATTGGTCTATCATCCGACGTTCTCCATTCAGCAGGGTTCCGGTAGCGGGAAGGGTAGCGTGAAGGGTACACCGGAATCTGGTTAACAGAAGCCGAGCTCTCGGTGGTGCGAACAGCGCAAACAGGTGTGATGCCGAGATTTGCTATTTCTTGGCGAACGACGGCTTGGATGAGGGAGACGGTGGATGCGTTGTCTTGAGGACCGTCAGAGGCGATGGCTGCAGGAGCCATTGCTTCGAGTTCGCGACGAACGATTCGGGTGACATCGCTCCCTGGAAATAGTCCGAGGCTGATAGGCGAAAAAAGTGTTGGATCGCAGCTCTCTGGAGAAAACGCTGCCTGTGTTGGCACGTTTTCTTTCGCTTTCTCTCCGCGTCACTGGCGATGCTGGGGAGGGGGGGGGGGGCAATTTTGTTTAATTTCGCATGCGCAATATACACGTGCGTATATAAAAGCATGCGCGAGCGCACATGAAGTACGGTTGAACCCCCACTGAAAAAAAAAAAAAAAATCTGGCTACGCTACTCCTCCAGCTAGTAGTTGGCTGAGTATACCAACAGCGAAACCTCGTAGTTACAGCGTAACTACAGAAGCACGCTGCAACTACTCCTAGGTTGCGCTGTTCTCATATTCAGTTATGTCCTACTAGTCCAAGTTTCCACGCTCAATAACGACATTGTTGGTTCCTTTGTTTCTATTATTGTTTGACCGAATGGAGATTGGTGGCAACCAGTGCGACGTAAAACGGTGCCCGTTTTGTCGGCTGCGCCCATCGGTTGGGCTGAGGGCCCTCAGGATTCACTATACGATGGTTCGACGTGAATAAAAAACACAATACATATTTTCAGAAATGTTTTTGCGAGTGTTGAACAGCTGCTCACAGTTGACCGATGACTTTTTTTTTCCTGTCAAGCGCTGGTCGGCGGCTTCTGCTAAGCACACGTCTGATCAGTAGATGATTTGCGCTGCTGGTTGTTGACATACAGCCTTGCAGGTGTAATGGGCTTACAATTTTTCTTTGGTGCGATGATAACTAGTAGGAGAAAAGTGCACAGTCGGTTTACGCCTGCACAGAAAGTAAGTGTTTACAGCCAATCCAGAGAATGACACCAGGCTGTTGAAGTGAGCACGCCCATATCTGCGCAGTATGTAAAATAAAATTCCGAGGAGGGTTTCGTAACACGTAATCGGCCACCGCGTAATAGCTAATGCCCTCATTTGACATACTAACAGCTGGATAAACAGACAGGGGCCTTTCGTGTGGTCTCTTGTCTTTTTTATCGCTGCTAATGTGTAATTTCAACTATCCCAGCTTTCTGGTAATGCGCGTCGATCATAGGACAAGCGATGCGCCAGGTTGCCGATAAAGGTATTTTCTATCGCCAGCCAAGAAAAAAAAAAGTTTACTGACCACTAGGCTCATTTGCGCGACACACTTTCCGAAGATTTGCGTCGGACCGACGCCACTGTAGAGTTTCTTTCGCTCAATAAGCAGGATTGGCGAAGTGCTAGTCACCCTCACGAAGCAGACTACTTCGCCTGAAGTATTCGGGAACCTTTGCTGTTTGTCGGTAGCCGCAAAACAGAAAGCGGGACTCGTTTTGCGTGACCATTGTTACGCACCGGCCTTCTCCGCACACATCTTCAAGCTACGCGCCGGGAAGAAAACAAGGGCAAAGTGCGCGAAGTTGCCACGTTGGCGCTGCGCTCTCTGAGAGCGGTGGTGCCATCGAGTGAGTGTGACAGGCCTATACGATGAGTGGCATGGGTAATGAATGAATGGCTGTTCCTAGAACTAATATGATTGGTAAGATCGCTTCTTAATGTGGGTTACATGTATTACGCAAGCGTTTTTATTTCATTTTAATTTGTGGATTGCGCTAGAATATTTATCCATAAATCCTCCTTTCGAACAGCAATCAGCGGTGTACGTGCGTCGCTATCAGCTGCCGCTACTCTTATTACCGGCCATTTCGCACCATCTGCGGTCTTTTTCTTTCTTTTTTTTTAAGTGGTCGTGAGTCTTTGAGACACTTTCAACGCTGAGAAGCGCCTCTGGTCTGTTGAACCGGAGTACAAAGGCCGACTTCACTGTCTCGGCAAAGCATTTGGGGGGGGGGGGGGGGGGGGCACGCATATATAAAACAGCACAGAAGGAAACTGCGGTGGTGTCCAGGGTGCCTTCGTTGTACCGGCGTGCTTGGTCCAGGCTGTGCGAAGCGCAGCTTCACCGCTCGGTGATGCGATTGTACTCGGGATCCGAGTTTCCCAATGTACACTAGAGGGAACTCTGGCGCTAGTGTCTATGGGAGCTGCAATGCACGGCGCTTCGGCGAGCATGGGAATGATGGGTAGTTCACACATTTGTCTAAACTTCGTACTTCTGGCCTGCTTTTGGCTCCGTGTGTGTTCGTGTGGCTTGAAGCTGTTTTCTCACGAAACAAAAATCAGCAAATGTTCAGCGATTGCGCTTCACCACCCTATTTTTTTTCGAATTACCTTTCCAAATTGGGTCACGAAGTTCAAAAGGGTTGAATCTTTCTTTCAAAACAAAATCGAAACACAGCTATGAAGGAAGCCACAAGTACGATTCGCCGCCCGCAAGTACGAAGACTAGGCAAATGTGTGCACTACCCATCATTCCCATGGTCGCTGAACGATCCCAGCGCCATAGTGCCCTCTAGTTAATTTTGAGAAACTCTATGTTCGGCATGGACCCTCGTAAACAAGGCATTATGAGCAAACTGCACCGCGTGTAATGCAATTGCGGTGGTAAATGCGCACTCACAGTCCCTTTAAATAGTGTGTGTCTGTGTCGCGATGCCGTCCGTACCGTTTTTGTGTGTTCAACCAGGCCCCGCGCGTTGTTGCAACATCGCGCTCATCTTTGTGCATTCTCTCTCTCTCGGTTTTCCAGGAAAGTCTTCGTTCGAACCCATTCCGGGGCCGTTTGGATATGTCGTTCCTCCTTACCACAACGGAGCCCTCGGCGCCGCCGTGTCAATGGTGAGTCAGAGCACGTTTTTATAGCGCGCGCGCTCTCTCTTATCTGTTGTGCCCGATGTGTGGCAGTTTGCGAGCGTGTTTTGGGGGGGATGCTCTCGCTGGCGCGACCTGTTGCCGAGAGGCGCGTCGAAAGGGAAAGGTGACCGCGCCTCGGGCAGCTTCGCCGCGGCCGGGCGTGTCCGACCGTGACGTCACTGCCGCGCCGAGTCTGCCTCGGGCGCGAACCTCTGCTAAGCGCCAGTAGTACTATTAGTAGCGATATCATTGATATGGGTTGGTGCGCGCGGCAATTTTGTCTTTTTGTTGTTTCTCTGCGAACGGGCTTTGCTTTTGCGTACTTGTAGGGTACGTTCGCAGAGTTTAACACGGTTATTCAAGGCTACAACCAAAGGCCTAGCTTTTGGTTTCTGTGCCATTCCGAACGCTTACAGTAACCATTTTTCGCGTTAAACGTAACTTATTTTACGCTATCGTACGTATTGTTTAGTGAAAGCGTTCTGTATGCACGCCTACCTCGTCGGCCAAGCTTCACGTGTGAACACGTATGCGCGGGTTAGCAACCCTGTTCGCGATTCACTCATTCAACTTCACATTCTTCGCGTCTGTCACTGCTGCCAAGGCTATTCCAGTGCCAGGATTTTTTTTTTTTTCACTGGGCACCCACGACAAGCGAGTTCGTGCGAGGGGGAAGAGGTTCAAAGACGGGCAACTCGTGCATTCTCATTTTGACTGTTACCTCTTCGGAGGGGGGCAATGAAAAATTATGGGCGGGGAGGGTTAGCCCCCCAGCTAGCGCCGCTCTCTGGTCAGTTAACTCTCATCTGTCGTTCGTTAGGGCTGCTGCTAAAATATGCAGTGTCGTCCATAGATTAATTTGTTTGTGCTTGTGCACATCGTGATTTGCCACGTGAAATTTCCCGCTAGACCTCGTTATTTTCGTTGCAGGGCACGACACCCTTCTGTATACTATTTTCAGAATACCGATCACAGTAGCTCATGCGCAGACTTATTTCTTTTTTTTAACTTAAAAAGAATAATAGCGAATATCAAATAAGCGCATATATCATATGCACTGGCTCACTTTGTGTACAGGACGAAGAAAGATTTGCTGCTATTACGGCAATACGCAACGTCCATCACGACACAACACTCATCTTGAATGATAGACATCCCTATCGAACGCCATTAATAGCGCATTTCACATTCCGCGATGCCCTATTTAAATTCACCCGCCTACCTAATTTAAGTGTACATAAAATAATAAAACCAGGTGGGAGCCCTCCTCCACTACGGACGGCGTGCCTCATAGTCGTCATATTCGTGGTGTAGGCGCGCAAAGCCCCAAGTATTACCGTTACCTTTTGAAAGTAATAATCCAATCTGTGTTATCGTTCTCACTGCCGAACTCTGCGTTTTGTCGCGGCCTTAATGCGACGTCGTACGGTTGCGTGCAAACCACGGCAGAATGTTTTACCGAGTGTAAAAAGAAAAGTTTACGCTTGCTTGATGATGCTTCTGTGACATCAGACTGAACATTATTCCGGACTAGCGTAAGTTTGACGTGTAAGATAAGAACAAACTGATGGTGGAGTAAACAATTTTCGGTCGTCAGCGCGAAGCCAGTGATAGACTAACAGGGTATAGGATTATCCCGCCAAGTGGAGTCTGGAGGGGCATCGCCAGGCTGTATTAACGTCGCAATTAACACCGCTACGTAACCAAAACCACTAAGTAATAATTGACTGACCTACTGCGAAACCTTGATTTCGAGTTCGTTTCGAACATTTGCTGAACGAGCAAGAATGATACCAAGTCGGGTGGTAGAAGTTTACAGGAACAGTGAAACTAGCGTCGTATGATGCCGCCGATCTTCAGGCGCGAACTTGTTTTTATGTATGAGCAACACAGCACGTTTGCGTGTTTTCTCGTTTCCACCAATCAATAAAGGGGAAAAGCGGTATACAGGAATTTATGAGTACGAGTGATTGACGCCATAACGGGCTGCGTTGCTCACGCTTTCAAAGGGCTAGTGTGTTTTTTTCGCTGCAGGATATCCTCTCGTCCACATACACTCGCAGCATTGTATAAGACAGTGCCTACCTTAGTTTATTCTCTCTCGCAACGTAAGTTGTTGCGCATTTGCTTTTGGGTTACGGGCCATAGCTTCGCGGTGGTGCCTTAGAACTCAGGACAACCATATTTCGATGACGTAGAGATTTATACGCGGATAGAAGATTGTTGCTATAGGTATTATTCGTAGCATCCCAAAGGGCCCCTTGCGTTCTTATAGCCAATGCGCGTCGCGTAATCGGGAATCGAGAAATCTGCGTCCACTCTATCTGCCTGTAGGCCGTTTCCCGTGGTTTCGCGCCTGCCGGTGTTTCCCAGCAGGCTCTCTCGTCTTCGCGAGCCTCGTCGGACAGGGCCGCGGGGGGGAGGGGGTACCAAAGAGAGGGAGCGAGTTCTACTAGGATTCTTGCGCGTTGCCTCTTCGCTGAAGATGCTGCCACGTAGGGCGTGGTTTGTTTGTGCTCGCTCCTGGTCAAATACGTCTTTTTTTTTTCTCCCCCTCTCCCGAGATCGTTGTGGGGCTCGAAGCCTACTTCCTGCGGCCGTCCATCTTCTGCGGGCGGCCTGTTTTTCTGCCGCGGCGCCTCTTCGCGGCCATCTCTGGTGTCCACCGCGCTCCTCAGAGCTAGTAGCTTACTGCCCCGCTGCGAGGCTCCTTTCTCTCGCTCTGCTGCCACTTGTACCAGTGCTGAGTCAGCTGCTGGGACCGCTCAGCTCTGAGGCGTCAGATACAATGTAGATTGCGACCGCTACGCCACTGGCATTGCGCTCTGGGTCGCGTTTTCACTAACGGCACCCCCGCGGCAGTGCTCTGTTGTCTTCCTTTCGCAGCGACCTCGTTTTGTAGCTTTTGCCGATCATACAAGCGTTTGAAGGAGGGACGGTGGTGTGTAAGGGCTAACGGTCAGCTCCTCAACTGTTTGGGATTGTGACGCGTTAACCGTGTTTCTGGATGGTTTGGATCAAACAGCCAATGCGGTTTGGTCCATCTGGGCCCGGGTGAGCTGCGGTGTTCCCTCATTAGCTTCTGTGCTGGTTCGGTGCACCTCACTCAATCAATCGGTCAAAAGAATCGCGTTGCTTGCAGTCTCCACCGTCGGGGAACTCACAACTTTTTTTTTTTCATATTGCTGCAATCCTGGATTTAAGATGAACATTCTCCAGCCCTATTCATACATCTACGTTTTTTTGTTTTTTTTTCGTACGTTGAGCCCCGTGAAAATAAAAAACAAGCGCGTCTCACTTTTTGTGACGGATGTTTTGCTGCCGACGCTTTGCTCGTCCAGCATGGAGCTGCGATGTAGTCATACATTATCACGGGTTCTCTGCTTTGTCCGAGTTTCCGTTTCGCGGGTGTTGAGAGCACTAGCCTGTCGAACGTATCGCGCTGATTCGTGCAGGCGACGCTGTCTCCAGTCAGCGTCGTTTTGGTGTTTCTTTTCCGGCCATTGTTTGCCACTACTGGTGTTCTATCGACTCCAGCGCTGGGCGAACAAGTGAACGATAGCGACGAGCGCTCTCCCAAGGACTTTCGCTGGCGGGTCAAAAGGCACTCGTGCCGTCAGGGTTATGTAGCTACCGCATTGTATTTTTTTTTTCTCGTTGGACGCGCGCGTTTCAGTGGTCAGCGTGCAAAAGCGAGGCAGGTGGGGAACGCTGTTTTGCATCGGCGTGACGACAGCTGTGCGAAATTAATGGTGCGCGCACTTCACAAAGCCGAGCTTGTCGACGTCGAAGAAGTGTTCCGTTTCGGAGGAAGGTGGCGCTGTTGTGCTTTCGGGGGGGGGGGGGGGGGGGGGGCAGGGTGCGCCGGAATGCTCTCGAAACAGGGTTCCCTCCTTTCGCCGTTACGCTGTTGTTGAAGTCGCATTCTCGTCGCCTGTTTTAACGCCTCACCCCAACGGCCGTACCAAATGAAACATGGCAGTGTGCCTCACCGATGCATCGGTGAGGCGCTTCGGTCGCGATTGGCAATGCGAGCGCAATTTTCGCCCGCCCTTCCGTATAGGGAGCTCGGCCGACTGTAAATCTATCTCGGAGGCCCCACAGCTGGTCACTCTGTGATGGCGTCGCGATGTTCTTGTTAAGTAGGCGGCATCCTCTGTTATGTATACGCGGTGCGCATTGCGCGAGTCGCCGTTTTTTTTTTTCTCCTCCTCGGCAGTGTAACGGCTTTGTAGAGTGCTCTCTCTCTCTCTCTCTCTCTAGTGAAACGCCCGTATAACGGAAAGAGCGCGCGGACCGCGACCATCGCGCGGGGCAAGGTCACGGTCGACGTTGCGTATTCTTCGTGCGCCGCGTGCGTTTCTGGCGAAAAAAACAAAACAAAAAAAGCAGCCGTGTGTGCGCCATTCTGCGCCCACCGATGAGAGAAAAAAAATATATATATACCGACTACACAGCGCCGTAGTAGCCTTCCCATGTCGTGGCCCGCGAGTTCCTTTAAAACGCATTGCTCAGTTCTTGAGAAAAGCAATTAGGCTCCCAGCAGCGGATTGCGCGCCGACCGAACATATACTTCTTTCAGGCGGCCTTCTGGTCTCCTTAACCTCCGTTTGGGCACTGATGACGCTTACGTCTCGTGCTATATATATATATATATATATATATATATATATATATATATATATATATATATATATATATATATATATATATATGAGAGACGACTTAGCGGTTGTCCTAATTTTATTTCCAAAGGTTTTGACCGGGGTGCACCAGTCTTCGTCAGCGTTTGCGAACAAGTGCGACGATCACTGGTCGACACCGTTAGAATAATATATTATAATGTGTGTGTGTGTGTGTGTAAGTGTGTGTGTGTGTGTGTGAATGTTGCATACTTTGCACTTGGCACACACACACACACATAAACACTCTTTTTCAGTGCATCTAGCATGTGTCTTTAGCCAGAACAATATTGTTATGCGGCT